AGCCTCATCAGCACTTCCACGATAAAGCTTATATGAAAGAAGCCTAGTTTGCCATGAAATTCACATCTGCTCTGTGGCCCCCTGGCACCCGTGGCGATTCGGCCTGGTGGTAACATATCGAAAGTGTATGCCAGACAATATTAGATGTATTCACCCTATTTCGTTTAAAGTGATGAAGGACTGGTAGTATAATTTTCCCACAATTATATGAGTAGAGCTGACGTTTCCATTCAATGTCACATAGCCTTGTTTTTTCAAAAGTTGTTCTCATCCAGATAGAAGTGAACTGCAGTTTCGACCTCGCATCGGTCTTATCAACACCCCTAGCAGGAGTCGAACTGTGATAGTACAGAATGTAAGCTTAACACGTTAACCATTCGGTCACATTGCCACGAGTTCCCTTGAGTCACAGGGTATAAGTGAATTTCAAGGAAGGTCAGGCCTTTTGCCACATCACTTTCTTTGGTGGGTTTGTCGATGAAGCAAACTGATTTAATGATAGTCTCGAAACTCTACTTATGTAGACTAGACAACCAAAATAAGGGTCTAATTCGCGTAGGCGATGCTGCTGAAACAGAGGGGAGGCAGAAACAGCATTCCACTTCAGCCTTGATGAGAATAGCTTATGGGCGGCAAGGGCAAGTGGATTAAGTGGCATCGTGAGGTTTACTCATCTCCTTGTGGAAAGATTCGACTGTCGGTCCTACATTACCTCATGCAACCTAATGTGTAGAGCCCTTATTCGAGATGTTTTGATAGATCCAAACCAACTCAAAAGCAAACAAATTTATTTAGCACAAAGATTGATCTTCCTCCAAAAATATTTGAAAGACAAAATCACATGAATGCATTTCCAGATTGCCTTTCGGCGAATATTTATCTGGCGAACAACCGTTTACTTGCCATTTTTCTCCAAAAGCTCTGAAAGGATTGAGAAAAAGAAATAAAAATGGGAACAAAAAAAAGGCATAGATTATCGAGCCTGAAAAATACCTTTAATTCGACCTCACTGTATACGGCCGAATTGGTGATGCTTTTCGTTATGGTTATGTTTAGCATGTACCACCTATTGACCACTGGGCACATGGGGGAGTCAAGCAGCAACTGGGATTTTAGGCAACTCGTCAGCTTTCAAAAGGCTTACTTCTAAGATAATAGTCATACTTGTAAGTAGGTTATACAATGAAAGACTGGGCTTTGACGATCCGTATGATAGCAGATTGTTTTGGCGACTTTCAATTAAGAAACTCGTAAAACGGTGGAGCACTTTCTATGGAGTTTGATGGCCGAGACATAATGAAGGATTGGTGTAACCCAGGCTGTTGAAGCGTCAGAAATTAACTCTTACAAGCCTCAGGGAGTATTCACGGGTAATAATTATAGTTATACATTTTTATCTATCCTTGTACACTGCACTCAAAGCCAGGGGCAGAGGCAGGAAAACATAATCTCATGTTCGAAGCCTACTTTAAGGAATGTTTAGTCAATGAAATAGTGGCTCTTCAATTGGTGTTTCTCTGCAATTTGACAGCTTGACAAGGATTATTTCAAGCAGTTTACCTCATAATTTTACCAGATGGAAACATTAGGCATGCTAGGGCGTTTTGGAAAAACAAGAGTTCACAGATGATGTATTGATTTAAAAAAGGTGACTAAGGGAAAATGAGTTTCATGCCCACTTTCTTCTTCGAGCATTGCCAAATGGCTAAGGTTAGAATTATGAATCCAGTGCTTAGTAAAGGGTACAGTGATAGGGAATCAATGGAATAGATGAGCGGATGAATTTAGAAGGCTATGAATTCACAATAATTGCCCCATTGGCTATAACGAGAATAGCAGCATTTTTATAAGAAATAAATTTCAAAGAGGTAATGCCTGGGACTTGAAAGGGAGCTTGATAACCCTCCCCCTATCCTCACTGGCATTTTTACCTCCTTTCGATAAGGACAGGAGATCTTACGGAGACAGAGAATAGGGTATGTTCTCAAAGAGACAATCATACTTTTTAGACGCGCTGTGTTGCCTAAAGAAAGAGAGAGAGAGAGAGAAAGAGTTAGGACCAGCAATCCGATTCATGCTAGTATAAGGCAATGTTGATTGGTTAGATCTAGTGCTGGTGAGTCCTATCGCCAAAAATCACACGTTACCGTGAGGCTGAACAGAGTAATGCCTGGAGAAGTTGCTGGGCTCGGCGTTTGGAGGTTGGAGGGGAAGGAACTGGGATATCCTGGCCTAGGATCCTCCGGTTTGCTGGTTAGAGCTTGTCTTCTGTTAAGCTCAAGACATGAAAAGACATTGAAATCAAGGAACCAATTAATGGAATGAATGTAATTTAAGAAGGCCACTGAAAGTGTTGCTGGCTTTGGTCGGATACAATGCCTAGTTTTATGGATAAAATTCTATTCATGCTTCTATCAATTAAAATAGGCATAATATCCTATGCACTCACATACATATCATATGCAATCATATCGAAAATAATCGACACTATGTTTTATAGTAACATGAATTATATTGCTGGTCATAACTCTATCTCTCTATTCCGTGTCTAAAGAGTCTCACATTATCTCTTAGGAAATAACGCGTTCTCTGTCTCCAAAGGTCTCCTGCCCTTCTCACCATGGACACTTGAGGATTTATATAGCAAAATATATCTCCGTACGCACATACTCACTTGTGTTTACAGCATACGGAAGTAAACTGGTCCATGATTCCGGGCGTCGTTGTTACTATTTATTTGGTTAAAACCATCATAAATGTGATTTTTGATAAGGCGCTCTGTTTGCCGGCAGGCGGTGTTACATGGAGTGATGACAATTCCGTCCACATTGAATATAGTAGAATGCTCGATACAGAAAAACCCATCACGGGAGTAAAATGAAGCATATGCTTTCCTCTAGATCTAA